TTAATGTTATCGAGTTAGTGTTGTTTGTTTATATTTATTTATAACTTGTAACATGCACAAAATAAAAAAGAAAATAATATTAGTCACATGTATTCACAATTTATAATTACAAAGATCAGCACATGTACTGTACACGTCTATCGTTGGAAAACCCTCGCACATCTGAGAATCTGACCCTGCCTATCCTTGTTTTTAAGCGCTCGTCTTTGCTCTTCCCTTTTTCTTTATGATTAGTGCGTATTATGATGTATGCCTGTGCATACATCATAATACGCACTCACGATACTTTCGATTCGTCACTTTTCCGTTGTAGAGTTCCCATTTTACAATTACGTGACTCATCCTGGTGATAACGGAGAAAAGAGACGGATAGGACGTCGATATAAGTCAGTTATGATTTCACAGATTCAAGACAGCTTAATAGCCCGAACGGCCCCAGGCTTTCGCCTGTGCACGCTAAGTGACTTACGTTACAAGCATTTAGCTTTCCAAAGACTATGACAACAATTGTTTGGCATTGACGGCCGAGAATTTCGTGCCAATAAGCTGCCTCAACTTGTTTGATTATGTTATCGACTCAATTTCATATTTATTTTCACATTTTTACTTCGCGGTTCTTCTCTGTTCTTTTTCCGTTATTTACATGTGTAGGTCATTTCATTGTTATCCACATTTGATATCATCATTTATCACATACTTCCATGACACTCTTGTCTGTCAGCTACAACTGCCAAGAATTAACGCGATTGGCAAAGCGTAGTGGCAATAGAGAGCAGGATCCTTGCCATAATGTGGTTTGCGTGCCAATTTTCGTACGTGCGTTAATCAAGCCGAATATTTGGCTATTCAGCCACGCTCCTGGCCGAGTATTCGGTATTCGGCCTGAGGCCGCATATACTATTCGTTACAACACTAGTTTTAAGTCATTTTGGTACAGTTTCATTTCACTCTATGTTAATTTTTCATACAGAAAAGACAAGTTTTGGAAGAGTGTAATGATTTAGAACCTAGAATTAGTGCTCTGGATGATGATCTTGATGATGTTGAATCAGATGACGATGAGGATAAGGTAAAAAGATGAAAAATACTATTATAAAATTTAAATATTGTTATAATCAATGAATTATTCATATAGGACCTGAGAAGAAGCTTAACACCAGATAGACGTCTTCCACTTCATTTAAAAAGAGACGATGATAACAATAAGAGAAATCTTTCTCCACTTCGTCACAGACGTAGTCGAAGTAGGTCTCCTCACAAACGAGGGCATTCTTCAAGAAGATCGAGATCTAGAGAAAGACACCAGTGTCAGAGTCGTTCCCGAGAAAGGGACAGAGAGAGGGGAAATGATCGTGAGAAAACTCGTGATAAAAACAGAAGACATCGATCAAGATCACCAGGTAATAATTGAAAAACATGTAAAATATATAATTCTAATATATAATTTATAATTCTATTAATATATTAAAATTTATCCAAAATTAACAATAATCTAGGACATAAGAAAAAATCAAGTAAACACAGTCGAAGGGAAAAAGAAAACGATCCAGGTGATAGAGAAAGAAGAGATCAGTGAAGGCAGAAATGAGAAGATTGTGAAGGGAGAAAGCAGAGATAAGATTGCTGAAGCAAATGCACTTCGTGCTATACTTGGCTTGCCTCCATTACGACCATAGATTTTGTATATAACATCACATAATAAATATATCATAACTGTCAATGACCATTTTAAAATTGTTTTTAAATCATGTTCATTTTTAGTTGTACAGGAATTGTAATTTTATAATTAAAATGCTTAACTAAGAATATTTTTACTAAATATTTTTTAAAACATATATCAGTTATACAATAAACTATAATAATTGTCTGATATAGTTTTCATTATATTTGAATCAGATGCACAACAATCAATAGCTTAACAAACTACTTATCAGAGTACCACTTAATTAAATTTCTATTTACATGAATTATGATAAATGAATTATTATAGTTACTAAAATAATTATCATACTTTAATATATTTATTGTTATATTTTGGAAATTTTCCAAAACATTCATCACTCTACATTAATAAAATTACTTATTAATTTTGTGAATATGTATGCTAATTCATTTTTCTGGCTAAAAACTACAATTCCAAAGTTATGTCAGATCTGTAAACAAGAAATCATAATACAGTGAAACTTCCATTAACGGACACTGCCGAATAGTGGACATTCCTACTCAACGGGCATTTTTTACAATCCTCAAACCCTTCAAATAGGACATCTATTATATTTATTTCTAAATAACCTACGCTGTCGTCCATAAACAATTTCACGAAAACGTTAAGTCGCGCCTTGAATATTCCGAAAGAATTAAATTCGTACAAAATATTTTAAAACTAAAAGAATTGGTTCAAATACTATTTCGGAAGACGAATTTTGACCGTAGGCGTCAAATAAAGACACTGAAAATATGAATTGGGAGGGAGCAGATGGTAAAAGAGTAGGCATATTGTTCTGTTTATCTGTTAGAAAACACTAATCTGGTAAAGTTGTCAATCATCGCTTATCGTCATACATATTAATGTTATTAAACTTTGTTTTATTGTTGGAATTAAGCTTACGCTACCAAGAAACCATAACTTTTCCCGAGTTGTTCAAGAATTGTAGTACAGTAGTAACGAAAAATAAACTTAAAACGGTTCCGACATCGTAACCGAAGGAAATTTGCCGGCCATATTAAAGTGTGAGAAGTTATGCCGTATTCAAGCATTTATGACATCATTTATGGTCTGAACAGCTTTATGGCGGCTTAGGTGTAATTTTCATTAGATTTATTTAAAAATATCAAAAATGTTCAAAAATTTACACCTACTTGATAACTACAAAGTAGACAAATTCCTATATCGATTTTTATTAGTAGCCTAAATCATAAAAGATATTATAAATGCAAGAAATCGAACACATTTTTCACCCCTTAAAGATGCTAGCAAATCACCTTCGTAACTCGATCTTCGTGCACCATCCCGTTCATAACTAGTTTCATTTTTTTTTCTGTAGTTTTTCTGCTCATGTCGTTTTTTGACACGTGTCTGCAAATTCAACTAACGAAACACTGGATTTTTGAGATGTGATTTTTACTAACAACTATAGATACAACCAGGGGCAAATTCTCTGAGCTTGCTTAGCATGCGCCGCATTCTTAAGAGAAAGTTTTGACTGTCAATATACTTTGTATATAAAAACAAATATGCCAATAATAATTCTAACGTGAAATTTGAAAGCATTAAAAATTTTTAAATACATTTATATACATACAATTGCCACAGCTGTAAGAAAAAATCCAAATTAAAGCTTTGGTTTTTCTTGAATAAACTTTTATCTATAATGATCTAAATGCAAATCATAATGTTAAAGTTCCTTAAGACTACACTATTCATTCAAGACTCTAAAAAAATGTTTCTCGTGTGTAAGAAATAATAATAGATGTAATGTAGACTCTATTTCACAACGTTAAAGCATTTAAAGAAAATTCTATTCACTTGCTGTAAACAATAAACATTAATAAATCAAATTACTTATTGGTTAATAACAAAATATTATTTAATCAAATTACAGAATTATGTAAAAGTGAGATTAGAAAAAATGTATGGAGATAATAAAGTTCTGAAAATTTTCTACCAAACATATCATTCAATTTACCAGACAGGTTTGTTTTCAAAAATTTCCATTGCTGAATGTGTTGATTCTTCGTAAAAATATTTTAAATGTATAGAGATTCTCATGTACGAGTCTGTTGAAGAGACTAAATCGAGAACATAAATGATTTAAATACATTAAAATATTTTATATGAGTGTAATGTGTTGTTAGCAAATATAAATTTTGCCTTATTCTGTGAAAAAAAATATTTACTGGAAAATTTAGGAAATATTCTCGTAAAGAAAACGAGCGATTACTTATTGCGACATTGTCACAATGATGCCGAGCTGCAATTTTTCGTCATATTTTTGAATTTATTTAATTTAAAATCTATGCTGTTCATCTCAAATTAATAGTCATTAAGTAGTGTCTTGTCCCTGTAGATCATACTTTCCTGTTAGCAATAGAGTCATGCCGATCATCTATTAAGTACTTTCAGGGGGGAAATTTTTGAATTGAAATAACATGACTCGGTTTATATCGAAAGTTGATATATCGAAGCCTGCTACCCGTAAGATTTCTATATCTGGTTTTGACTTTCATCTATATAATTTCTTTCTCGAGATTAAGGAGAGACGGACGGGCTACAATGAGAATTTGTAGGTCTACAATTTTTTCGAATTGCAGCCCAATTAGTCGTATTATATATGAATATGAAACACGTTATGCCAGTGTTGTGTACAGCACTCCTAAGAATATTTACTTAAATATTTCATTAGGGTCAGAATTCATTATTATATAAAATTTTTTATAACATANATTGCGTGTTGTTTAACATGTTGGATAATGGATTCAGGGCTAGGCAGAACCAAAGCAGACTCAAGGAATTTTTTCCTTGAAAAATTCTTTGCCTAATGAATATCTCATTTGTTTGTATGGAAGTGTTACTAACCCGGAGATGTAGTGTTGTTCTCCAGTGCTGCATAGTGTTTTGGAAAAATGCAGTGAGTGATGGATGTATTTTGTACATGTGTAGCAGCCAACTGTGTGGAACACTGTCGAATGCTTTTTTGTAGTCTATATATGCCATGTGTATGTTTGTGTGTTGTTTGTGTTCTTGCCGTTGAATGACTGAATCTATGAGTAACTGTTCTTTGCATTTCCTGTGATTTCTACAGCAATTTTTTTGTTGTTCTGTAAGAATGTCGTGTTCTTCAACATGTTTGTATATTTTGTTTGTGATACAGGATGTCAGTAATTTGTAGAGTGTTGGAAGACATGTAATTAATTGGTCTGTATTGTGTGGGGTCTGTGGTGTTGTTGATTTTAGGTATTATGTAGGTGATGCCTTGAGTAAGAAATTTCGGCATGTCTTGTGCATTGATGATGATGTGTGTTAGATGTTTAGCTAGTTTATGGTGCAGTGATGTAAACTTTTTATACCAGAAATTGTGAATGTTGTCTACACTAGGTGTCTTTTAGTTGTTTGTTCTGTTAACAGCGTAGCAAATGTCATGTATGTTTATTTCAGCACAGGGCATAGTTTGTATGTTGTGCAAGTTTCTGTTCTCCTCCTCGATTTAACCTGTATCAGCATTGTGTGTAAGAGCATTGGATTAAAGAGAAGACCAATAAGTTGTGAGTTCTTCTTCTGTTTGTGTGTGCTGTGTATCAGTGTTTGTTTTTGTACTGATTTGTCTGTAGAAAAGTTTTTCATTGTTTGTGAATAATTTATTTTGTCGTTTCTGCAGTGTACATGTTTTGTATCGTTTGAGTCTACTTGCTTTGGCTGCGAGTTTCTGTTTTAGTGTATCGATGTATTCTGTAATGTGTGTGTTGTGGTGTTCATGTTCTGTGTGTGTTTTGATTTTTTTTGAAAATGTATTTGAGTTGTTTTATTAATTTGGGTGTTATTTTGTTCTTAGTGTATTGTGTCAGCCTGCCTAATTGCTGTCTAATGTCATTTATTTGTGTTTTTATTTGTCTCTGCCAGGCAGGCTTATGATAGAATTGTGTTCTGTTTGTGTCTGTGTGATTGTATTTACAGTTCATGGTGTTTTACTACTGTGACTGTTCCAGCATAAACTAATGTATGAATGTCTGAGAGTGTAGAAATTGAATGAATGTAGTTTGGTAGTAAGTGAGTGTTTACATAATGTAGTGTTATTCCTACTGCCTTTGACGTGTTGATTTTCAGTATTCGTGGTCTTTGTGTAGGATCTGTGCCTGTATATTTAGTGAGTGTTTACTGAAATATAAGTGAGAGCGTATTAACTAATTCTATGTTCACTTTATCAGTGATAGATGAGGAAGTTCTTATAGTATTATTAGTTATAGTTGTTGTATGTGTGCTATTATCAATGCTTGTTTCTGGACTATTTTTACAGGTTACGTGATTTTCATTAATAATGTTGAATGTTTCTGTTTGTTTATGTATTTGATCAGCAACCTGTTGATTGATAAGTTCAAGTGTTGTTTGTGGGATAAGGTTGTTGTGTATAAATGTTCTCTTCTGATCAACAACCCTTTGTTCGGTGACTGTGAGGTAAAAATATTGTTGTGTGAATCTATGGTGTAATTGTTGTCTGTATGCTGTCATGTTTGTTTCGAGTATTGTGATTGCGTAGTAAGTACGGATGATAAACTCGTTTATTTCTGTTGTCTATTTAATATGTTGGCTTCTCACATCTGTTGAGGGCATTGCAGTAGCCATGCTTGGGCTGGCACTGCGTTAGCCACCAGTAACCAATGAGACTGGAGCTTATTTTTCGAACGTGAGCCTCTGCCTAACTCACAAACGCAAACCTTGTTAATTTGGGCGACGTCTGAGCCGGTATCAATCTTAGATCTGGTTACTACCATCATAAAAAATACTTCCACAGAATGTGGGTGTGTGGTCACTCTTAGCTTCAGTTCTCTGCATAGACCTTACTGGCATGGGTGTTCCTACCAGGAGCTTGTGCTCCAGCCTGCATTGTTATATGGATCAGTAAAATTACTAGGCTCTTCTACCATGACCAGGTGGTGACCATGGGAAAGTTGTTATTATTATTTTTATTATTATTTATTGTTGGCTTAAAAAAATAAGAATTATGTTTTTAATTCAAAATATTTAGAAAATTCTACTGTTCTTAATTAGTTAAGAATTATTAAGCCACTTTGAATAAAGAGAAAGCTAAAAATATTTTAAATTTAATAATATGTTTGATATTTGTTTACTGAATTTCTTATTTAATTTTTTGCAATCGATTTTGCAGTCGTAATTATCATACCTTTACTAAAAATTATTTAAATTTTCATTTATATATCGTATGATATTTGATTTTAAAAACCATATTTTAAATTAGATATGCTCGAGCGTTAGGTGCAGTCTGTATGAGATTAGTTGGAACTTCTCTTGATTGCTACAAATATTTGGAACCATTGTATAATGACTACAGAAAACTTTTGAGAAAAAACAGATCAGGAGGTAGGTAAAAATTAATTGTTTTTTTTCTTTAAAAACTTGATCAGTTTTAAAAATATTAATTAATATAACTGATTAATATATATTATAGCATTGGAAATAATTCGTATGGATCAATTTATTCATGAACTATTACATGAAGAAAGAGTTTGTGATATTTTTCTACCAAGAATTCAGAAAAGACAAGTTTTGGAAAAGTGTAATTATTTAGAACCAAGAATTAGTGCTCTGGATGATGATCTTTATGATGTTGAATCAGATGACGATAAGGTAAAAAGATGAAAAATACTATTATAAAATTTAAATATTGTTATAATCAATGAATTATTCATATAGGACCTGAGAAGAAGCTTAACGTTAGATAGACGTCTTCCACTTCATTTAAAAAGAGACGATGATAAGAATAAGAGAAATCTTTCTCCACTTCGTCACAGACGTAGTCGAAGTAGGTCTCCTCACAAACGAGGGCATTCTTCTCGAAGAAGATCAAGATCCAGAGAAAGACACCAGCGTCAGAGTCGTTTTCAAGAAAGAGACAGAGAGAGGGAAAAAGATCGTGATAAAAACAGAAGACATCGATCAAGATCAACAGGTAATAATTGAAAAACATGTAAAATATATAATTCTAATATATAATCTATAATTCTATTAATATATTAAAATTTATCCAAAATTAACAATAATCTAGGACATAAGAAAAAATCAAGTAAACACAGTCGAAGGGAAAAAGAAAACGATCCAGGTGATAGAGAAAGAAGAGATCAGTGAAGGCAGAAATGAGAAGATTGTGAAGGGAGAAAGCAGAGATAAGATTGCTGAAGCAAATG